TTCAAGTAATTCCTCCTCAACTTCACTGAAACAACAGAACAAGTTCTTATGTAATTTTCACTTCACAATTCTACTTTAAAGGTCCCAATACTTTTGGTCAGGAGTGCAACAAATATGTTAGAATTATAAATCCTCCAATAAGAATAAAAATAAAGAAAAAATGATGAGTAGAATTTTTCTGGTGGGTTACTGTGTTTGTCCTCTAAAGGAAAATATGCTATAAAATATATTTTATCTTCTAAATATACATTTAAGCTAGTTTTTTGGCATAAATAGGGAATAATTCCAGATAAAATGCGAATTTTAAATACTTTCATCTGTTTTAATTATGAAGTATTGGACTACAAACATTGCACAGTTTCATTACCACTTGATGTTGCCAACACTTTATGAATTTTTGTGTTCTACGATTTTTATTTTAAATTTTACTGCAGTCAGGAGTGCAACAAAACTGCTTTATAATTACCAATGCTTTTTAATTATCTTTACTAAAAAAATGAGTTGAAAAAAATGTTTGATACTATTTGATGTTCAAAACACTATGTCTATCAACAAATTACAGAAATTTTCTAGTCAATTCAGGGAATAGTTTTCATCATTTCACATATAGTTTTATATACAATTTATGTATATTACACTTTGCAAATAATCATGTGTTAAGGTCTTCAAAATATGAAAAACCTGCCGTAAACAATGAAAAATATCAAAACAACAAATTAATTTACAAAGAAAGAATGGGTTATTGTGTGTAATAATTTTTAAAACAATGTTAAATAAAATACATATCAGATGTCAGGAGTGCAACACAATAATGTAACAAAGGGTCACTTCAAAATCTAGTATTTTTTGTAAGAGAACTCATATATAAAAATTCTTTTTTGGCTTAGATTTAAAGAATTGGCTTGAACAGACAAAAAAGTGAAATTTGGGGAATTTTATTGCTTCATATTTTTTTCTTATTAAAACTTTTCAAACCAGAATTGAAAAAATAATGTAAAATAACAATCAAAAAGCCAATTTTTTGTCACACATACAAGAGAAGATACTCAATCAAGGTCTAGATTTGATCATTTATACCCCTTTTACCATTTTGAAGCATAAAAAACTATAATTTCTTGTGATTATGTATTTTAGAAAGTCGTTTAAGGTGTAATGATATTTTCTTTTTTCAAAAGAAATTTTACTAATAAAAATTCTGAAACTTTTTAATCCAATTGTCTATTCTATTGCCACTTCAGGATTTTAAACTAGAATGCATGTGCAATATGATGATATAAGTGAAAAATATGTTAGAAGTAGCTGAATTTTTGCAAAAAAATTCAGTTTGGTGGTCATTTTTTTTGAATTCACCCATATGTTTGTTGTTTGATTTGGTGGGGGCTGGGGATCTGATGCTTCATTACGCTGTAGATAACTTAAGTGAAGCTTTGGAATTAATCTTCGGAACGAAATCGACACATTTCTGAACGGAGGAAATCTCGAGGGATGTTCCATCAGAACATTGGAAACTCAAAAACTGTCTTAGTCAATTACTAGGTTGGGTAAGCTACATACCCTATATGCAATATTCATATTTACATGTTAACATGCATAACCAAGTAACAACATGAAGGTCACTTACATTTATCATCAGCTTATTGAAATGCTGACAAAATAAAATGCTTAAAAAGTAATATATTTTTCTTCATCGGCAAAATTAAATGAAATTTACATTCCTTTGTGTATTTAGAGAAAATATAGAAGTGGCTTTAAAATAAACAAAATATAGATATAATGAAACAGTTTCAATTTGTATATTGCATCGAGCGTACTTATATTTCGACATATATAAAAGTAACCCTGCTCGCATAAATGCAACCACTGGCCAATGCAAAAAGCGCAAAATGAGACTTTCGTCAAACACAAAAATCAGCATCATTAGTTCATACCTTTTCCAGGAATTAGGTTATTTTTACTCTAAAAATAACAATGAAATATGTTTATAATGTCAAGGGCTTGTAGAGGATCGTGGTGTAAAAAATTGCTATTACTGTCATTCACATTTAATATAATATTGAAAGTATAAATTTCTCTGATTTATTGATTCAAAAATTTATTAAGTACTTCACATTTTGACCCAATTGATTTTATTCTGTGTCAAGAGAATTTTCGGAATCCCTCGAATCTAGAACTTGTACAGAAAATATCCTTACCGATATGAAGTTGCATTGCAGTTTTAAAACCTCTATGTCCTGTTTTAGTGTCCATATTTGATAAAAATTTACTGCAACAAGGCAAGCAAGCGCAGTTCCAATTACAAGCGCGCTTGTGACGAAGATGCAGCCAGAATTTGTGTTCTTATTTTGTGACATTCTTTCTGCGACAGTTTGACCCTTTGGAATATTACGAGAGAACTATAGACTATAGATCTACTAAGTTGGTACGTTCTTACTGACTTAAGTAGGCCAAGGTAGATTAATTTGCTCCTTAAGGAAATTCGACCGATAATTTTTAGTCAGTTTTTCTCAATTTTGCTTTGCCCCCGCCCCCCCCTCCCCCTTTAAATTTGATTTTTTTTTCTTCCCATTTTCTATTAATTTTCATTTTTTTTTTTTATTATTTCCATATGTTTAATATTTATTGTCATTTTTTTAATTTTAATTTTATAGTTATATTTTGTTCATCTAGCGTTGGCCCTTAGCCCTGAGCTGGGTTTAGAGCGTAGTGAGACAGGCTAGATTTACACTGCTGCTGAATGTAGTTCTTTCTATTTGTTTGTTTTTGTTTTTGGAAGTTTATTACTTACTTTTTTTTTTTTAATTTTAATTAATTTTTTCTTTATTCATTTTTGTTAAATTGCAAATGTAGACTGTATAAAAATTCAAACTCCAAAATTATGTTGAAAGGATGTTCAGAAATTTGAGTTATATTTCATAAATTCCTTTTTATATTAAGCAGACAGATATTCAATATTAATTTTCTAATAGATGGAAAAATTTTATGAGATGAATAAGAATTAAATAGTTTATTGATTGATTAATAATATTCTAAGAGTTTTAAAAGTATTTAGACAGGATCCGATTATTATAAACAAGTTCATCACAAAATTACATCGGAGTGTCCTAAACCTGCGTTATCTGTGAGTGTCAAAGTATGTCAAATGTAGAATATATGTGAATGAACTTTCCTAATCCTCCCAATCAGATATTCATCTAGAAGATATATAAAGAAAACGAGAGAGAGAGAGAGAGAGAGAGAGAATCCTTTTTCAGAAATTCTTAACAGATCAAGGTGGACCAGAGTGAGCAGAACTAATGCAATTATAGTAGTTTGGAAAGTATCACTTTTTTTAATCCCTTGTTGCAAATTACATGTAAATAAGTACTTATACATGTTCCCGATCCAGAGTCAATAATTAATGTACCAGTTTTGAATTAAATAATTTTGTAAATGATTCAATTCTAGGATCGATTTCTTTTGTTTCGATTATTTACTCTTCAAAAGTACTTAGTGGTCTTAATAACCTCTTCTAAAAGTTATATATAGTACCGATAGTACCAAGGTCTATAAATAGATTGCTATCAGAAATTGAATAAAGTGCCCTGAACTGAATAGGTCATACACTCTGTCACATTTGTGATAATTAGTCTTCTGTCCGACTAAGAACAAATGGAGAAAAAAGTTATTTTAATATTTATAGGCATGGTCAAAAGGAGAAGGGGGGGGGGGTTTACATTTGTGAGCATTCTGCTTTATTCGATTTTTAGCGTCATCCCCATAATAATTCAAATGAAAAAGATTGAATTATAGCTTTGTAAACTCTTATTATATAAAGCCAGATGAGCGTGTTCTCTACTTTTTTAAAGATATATCTTGCATAAATATACTAGACACTGAAACTAAGAGAACGTGCAATAAATAATCACAATAATTCTTGTTTTAGTCATACCGTGTTTATTTTCAACATACCGTTGATTTACATAGCGTGTTTATTTTCTAAGGAAGAAGAAGACATATTCTTCTTTAGCATACACTGTAGGAGGGGGGCGGGGGTATCCCCACCCCCTTAAACTCAAGTTATAAAATTAAATGACATACGCAAAAACTTGAATAGGCTGTTTTGCACAGATCGAAGACAGCTCTCAGCTGTGGGAAAAATGACGTCATAATAGAAAAAGACGTCATGAGTTGATAATGGCGTCTGTAAACATGGAATTCGATGAGGAAAAAGATGACAATAAGAAGCTAACATATGAGGATTATATGTTTAATCATATACGAAAGAAGTATAAAAGGCGAAAGAAAAGAAAAGGAAGCCAAATTTACCTTTGTAAGTTCAATAAAGACATCAAAATGTTTTCTCATTCGTATCAAGATCGATGCCTGGGGCCATAAAACTTAGACAAGCTCGCTTTTGATCTCAGTCTCACTTTTACCAAAGAAATTTAGGCCTATAAGGGAAAAGTGAGACTGAAATCAAAAGTGAGATCATCTAAGTTTTATGGCCCCAGAGCCGAGACTGTCGTGTGACGAAACCAGATGAAGATCTAGAACTTCCATACTGCTTATACGTGTAAGGAAATGTCGATAGGTGCATTTACATGTAAATCCGAACTTAAGTAATCTTCCCAAAGCTAATGCACATATCGTCATCGACGGTCAAAGAACTATTTCCCTTTGCGAAGTCGGTGAAAATCAATGATGATCATCATCAATCACAATGTCGATCACTATTAGGCTAATAGGCATTTTAGACCTATAAGACAGGTTCGATCGCCGGTGGCCAGATAGGTCAGTTGGTAGAGCACCTGATTGGGGATTCAGGGGGCCCGGGTTCGATTCCCTGTCTGCTCCGCTGCATTTTTCTCCTCTCCCGTTACATTTTGTGCCGTGCCATGCCCTGGAAGTGACAGGTGAGAGGCCTGGCAAGGATGAGCCTGGGTTGGAGTCTTTTGGGGGGGGGGGGGCAAAGACCTTTAAGGAGGGAGGAGTGTGGCGGTCAGACGGGTTCGATCGCCGGTGGCCAGATAGCTTAGTTGGTAGAGCACCTGACTGGGGATTAAGGGGGCTCGGGTTCGAGTTCCGGTCTGGTCCGCTGCATTTTTCTCCTCTCCCGTTACATATGCTTACAGATTACTGGTACTTTTGTAAACTTTTTATCGAGTCAGAGTGGGTATTAATACCTCAAGTCAGCTAGACATCACAGGTACTTGTGGACAGGACCCCCCCCCCCCCCCGATATTCAACTTCGAGGCTTGTTGGACATTTTTTTTCACAAATTATTAATGTATAATGGGGCATTTTTGTGTGGAACGATTATTTTGGGGTTTTCACGATTTTTTCCTATGGTACACATGATGAATAAGTGCAATAAATATACAGTACCGACCAGACACAACCTAACAGAAAGCGAACCCAGAGCGCACCCCGGGTTCGCTCTCTGGGTTCGCTTCGGGTTCGCTTGGGGTCCGCTAGTGCTGACCCCGAGCGAACCCGGAGCGCACCCGTAGCGAACCCGCAGCGAACCCAGAGCGGACCCCGAGCGAACGCTGAAAGCGAACCCCAAATTCAGTAGCGGTCCCAGAAAGCGAACGCGCGTTCGGTGTTGTGTAACAAAGCTGTCAATCAGGATTAGCGATTAACTCATCAGCGCGTCGACCAATCAACATGCCGAACAGGTCTGTCAATCAGGATAAGTGATAAAATGCGGTGACCATCAGCGCATCGACCAGTCAACATGCCAGTTTGTAATCTAAACATTGTACAAGCAAAGCGTGTGAATGTACAGTGTAAAAATATTATTAATATGATTTTTGAACATGATTTTACATTTATATATTTTAATTCTCCGGAAAACATGCAACATTTACACATCTATTTTCATTATTTTTTATTTTTAAAATACATTAATACATTATATATTTTTATTATCCAGGTAGCATGTTACATGTATAGTTACATATTTATTTTCTTTATATTTTTAAAATCCATTAATATGTATTGCGTAAATTTATCAGACAATATACTTTAATTCATAATAGAAAAAAAGAAAATAATAATGGCTATAACAATTGTTACTAAAAAAAAATGGTCTTCGATAAATTAAAGAATTCTATTATCTCAAGATACAGTATAAGAACATGAAAGTGCTTTAATTTAATTATTGTTTATTCATTATTTCAATTTACATGCACTTTTTAATGTATCCAGATCAACATCGAAATTATCGATCTTAATAATTGATCATGAAAAAAATTAAATGTACATTGTACAGTATAAATGTGCATTATGTCAATACGTAAATTGGAGAAAAAAATCTCATTTTTTTATCTTCTATATTTTTTTTAAATTAATCTTTTACCAAAATTTAATAAATAGCTTGATTTAAATACATGTATATAGGGAAAGATTATTTTGTCAATTTTAATTATCCTACATGTAGACCTTACATTGTATGTTTTTGAATTTTTGTAACTACTTGCAAGTCAGTCAAAAAAAAAATGCTTATCACTTTCCTTCGCGTCGATATATATAATTATACAGGTTTACATGTTCACGAACCTCTTACATGTACTACATGTAATTTTCGAAATACTTTATATGGGTATAAAAAAAATACTAGACGGATACGTTTTGTACTTGTGCAAGAAAAGTACACGTAATTCCAACATTAGTAAATTGAACTTGCAAAGATACCTTAATACGAAAACGTACATATATTTTTTCGTTACATAGGTACCTGTATTTGAACCTTTTTTATTGTCATAATTATTTAATTTTAACACTTTAATAATTATAGTTTCAAAGTGAAGCCAAGGTCATGTGTCGGTAATCATCCACCTGTTTCGAAGATATTGCGGGTGCTACATATGTAAGAGCAATTGCGGTGGGGGGTTTTAATTGACACTTGCTAGCTGGATATATACTGTCTCCATGGTCACGGTATACCTGAGTATATACTCCCCCTACATTCGATGCCCCTTAAGTTACATGTACCTCGTCTGGGCACGTTATCAATGAGAAATTCATTTATTATTATTTTTTTTTTACCTTTGAATTTGGAAACGTAATAGTTCTTTGGTACGTTGCATGAAGAGTACATGTTCATGTAATTTGCTACCACCTGAAGGCCGAAAATCAGTAGAATAGCTTTACGAGCGAGCGTGCGAGCGAGAGAGAGAGAGAGAACACTGTATATTATTTGAAATTAAAATCGCTACAACCAGCCCATAGAAAACAATTCGAGTACGGAGAGGGGTGGGGGGTGGGGGGGGTGGGGGGTCATCGAAATAAAACAATATTAGAAAAAAAAACAAAACAAAAACAAAACAAAAAACATCGGGCGTTATTATCTTAATTTCATTTAAGTAATCATGCGAGTTTACAGTTATTGAATTCTTGTTTTGTTTGTTTTGTTTCTTGTTTTTATTCATTTTTAAACATTTAGAATTTTGTTTGTTAACATGCCGCTCCAGTATGTACATGTGCATGTATGTAGTGGGGCGGGGGGGGGGGGGAGGGGATCATGAACCAGTAAGGAACACAAACTATTCAAGTGATCATTTACATGTATTTGAAAACAACTTAAAAAAATAATATAATCTTATCAGTGGACCAGTTATTAGTTTTTGTTTGTTTGTTTTGTTTTTTTGATTGTTGTTGTTTTTTTCTCATAAGTCTTCCGTTAAACTCGCCTCATAAAACAATGATTTATAACATGGAAGTAAATTATAAATGATCTGTAAAACGAAACTCAAGTTACTCTGTATGAGAATTTTTAGTGATTATCACGACCTACATATACATGTTATGGATGACAACCTAGCTTAAATGTAATCTGCTAAATATGAAAACTTAGCATTTTACGTGTACATTGTACAGTATATCTCAGCTATTTCATAGATAAGATCATAATTCAGTTGGTTGTCTTTCAAACATTTAAATTACGATTTAGCAATTGCAATTACAATTGGAAGTTTCAACTTATTTAAAAACCCATGAATAATGTAAACAAATGAATTTGAAAGATTTTTTTTATTAAGATACTCTTATCAATTTCACTCCATCCGATACATCGAAAATAAATTTAACACCTTTTCTTCTTTTTCTTTCGAGACATACTTAGCTTGTAAGTTAAGAAATTCTACGTTGAATGTACGGTGAAATTCTTGAAAATTTATCAACGATCTCCATATTGTCACTTACATGTACATGTACATGTTTCGATCGCCATAAAAACAGTAATGATCGATTTCACTACTGTACAGTATTTGGAGTATACAAGGGGCGGGGCTTACTGGCGGCAAGATTAAAGCGGGGTCCGCTTCACGCATGAGTGCGTAAAGCGAACCCGGAAAGCGAACGCCGGGTTCGCTCTAGCGGACCCAGAGCTGACCCCGAGCGAACGCAGAGCGAACCCGAAGCGCACCCAGAGCGGTCCCAAATTTTCTGAAAGCTGACCCGCAGCGGACCCCGAGCGAACCCAGGAAGCGAACCCGGGGTGCGCTTTGGGTTCGCTCTGGTGTTAGGTTGTGTCCGGTCGGTACTGTAATTTGTGAAAAAAATGTCCAACAAACCTCGGGGTTGAATACCGGTGGGGGGGGGGGGGGGGGGGAGGGGTCCTGTCCACAAATACCTGTGCTAGACATTGGGTAAGTTTTGTTTATAAGGACGCTGTCAAATTGACAACGCCCGAGCCCTTGAAACATGTTTAGATCGAATATCCCTCCCCCCCACCCCCCTCCAATCCAATGTACGTATACTACGGGCCAGATATCTAATATACATAACATGTAATATTTCTAATAACGAGTATCATTAAAGCTATATATGGCATATCTGAGCTAAAAAAAAATCGAGATTTAGAGTAGATTAACATGATATATGTTATTTACGTTAAAAGTTTTGAACTTGAATAACCTCGTTTCCATACTTATATTGACTTTAAACTGTGTCGTTTATTTAAATGCGGAGTCGGTAAATAAATCGTTTATTGTTTTAAATTTCTAATACCCTTGAAACGTGATTGATTTAAATTGTGTAATTTACAGGAAAGTCCTATCTATCTATAAAGTAATAAAACAAATAGAAAGATCTTTTTAATTTTAGTTAGCCTGAACTTATAAAATACGTAATATGTGACTTTAACAAGTAGAGATATTGAAATTTATTTACTTCTGAGAATCGGAGTCAGGAATCAGTGTTTTGGTAAAGAATGGGTGAAATCAACTGGGAATGAATTTATGCATGTTATTAACATTTTGTTTTTAATTAATATAATTTGATCCTCTGTTTCAGGTTTTTTCTTCTTAGTCGATAAATTAAGGGACGTTGTACAATCGGATCCGGGGGAATACAGCGGGATTAAAACGGTGTTGGGGTTTCCCACGGGGGCTCTTTTAGCATTTGGTAGGTTAATTATTACTAGAATTTATTTTCTGCATTTTTGAAGTATTTGATCATCTAATAATTCAATATATTGATCAAATATAAGCATATTGTAAAAGAAATTAATATGATTAAATCAATAATAGAGGCGCTTTCTACATCTACGTAAAAAATATTAATTGTATACTGTAGCTAAATTTTACTTTGCAGTTGTTCAAAAACGACTTATATCTTTCCTTGATTTAAATGCTTTTTAATACTATGTATACATTAATTTGTTCAAAACTTTCTTTTATTTTTAAATTTTGGCATCCATGAAGATAATTTTTTTAATTTTTATCTAGGTCTATATCTGGCGGTATTAGCGCCATTAAATCTACAGAAAGATACAAGTGAGTTAGTGGGCGGACTTCTGGGTTTAGGGTTAGCTACCGGATACGCGATATCGGCGCAGGTGCGATGCATCGCTTGGTTGCTTATCCCCACATTCTTCGGAAAGAAAGGACGATCGTTTATAGGAACCTATGCAATCGTATTTCTTATCGCAGGTAAATACGCCAATCCCCATTGTCTTCCATGTTATCAGGTGTTTGGGGATCCTTATTTTTTTTTTTCCCAGTGAGGGGGAGAGGGTTTCCTCGATTTTCTTTCATTTGGGTAGGATCGAAGGTAATAGCCACAGTATGGTGAAAAATTAGGTTTTTTTG